TCTTCAAGCAACTTAAAGAAGTCCAGACGCTTTTCTTTGCAAGCTCCTTTGACTACGATGACCTGGATGACTGAGAACCTTCACAGACATTGGAAGTGGATCTTTAACTTATTTCCAGTACCTAATTTCACTCTGTCACTATTCTATGGTTAGTAATGCTTTGGTTGAAGCTTCAGGCATGGTTATATTTCTACCAGCTGAACAGTAACCGCGAGTGGCCTGAGGGGAAGAACAAATGAGTTAACACTAATCTGCATCAGTATGACTGCTGACTTAGAAACTGTGAAGAGCAAAATATTTTAACTTTATTTTAATTTGCAGTCTCTGGCTTTTTGACCTGATTAAAGAGTTACAGCACAACACCGTTAGACAATAATGATAATGCCGTTGTTTTAACACAGGCGACTCTCCTGGGAAATCTGAGTGGTCAGGAGCTCAAAACAATGGTGTCAACCAGCGAGCTGCAGAAAACAAAGGGCACAGTAAGAACGCACACTGACACTCAACAGTATGTATGAGCATACATCTCACTTGTTAAACCTGCAATCCTCGCGCAGGCTGACTGCCATCACAGGACAGTGAGGTAATTGTTATGTCATGTGTTTAGTTTCTTCACAAGCTCACCGCGAGGGCCGTCATCAGGGATTATGAAGACGGGAACCTGGACACCAGTGAGGCTGAACACGAGGTACTGTGCAGATAAGTGAGACCAAAGATTGAAATTTACAGTAGTTGTTGTTTTAGTGATATATATATTTTATTGTTCTTCAAATTTTTCTTCCAGTTCAGTTTAGTTTCAAAATCCTTATTACAATAAATACAGCTGTGGTCAAAGGTTTACTCATCATGGACATTATGTTCGTACTACATTGTGAACTGTTAATCATTTCTTATAGCATATTTTAGTGATGCTGTAAAATGATGTCATGCTTATCTTTACCAGCCTATAAAGTTGTGTTTGATAGCACTGATTAGATTGACCAGTAGAAGAACAGAAAAGAACTCAGTGAAGAAGAATTGTAGATTTGGACACATTGGGAAGGTCTCTTGCAGCCATTTCTAAACAACTACAGATTCCAACATCATCAGTTCAGGTGAACATTATTATTCAGATGTGTCACGACTCTGCCAAGGTCTGGAAGAAGACACAACCCCTCAGATGAGAGGACGTTTGTAAGGATGTTCAGGAACGACCCAACAAAGCTCCAGCCTGCCATAAACTGGAAATGATATCCGATTCAGTAATTTAGGTCAGAATCGGACCGATACTGTATATTGGATTGGTCCCTAGTAGAACGTACATATATTTGTTTAGAAATGTAGAGAGTTAAAGTAAAAAGCAGTCAGAAAATAAACTACTGATAAACTAGTACTTAGAGCAGGGCGATATGACCAAAAATATTTATCACCATATACGTTTGAAAATTTGCGATAACGATATAACTGACGATATAATTGACACTAGAGAAAACACTTTACAACTCCACAACTTTATTAGTGCAAAAAAACCCATCAATGTATTTTCACTTAAACAAGCAGCTGTTTTTTATCTGCATTAAAGTTATATAAACATGTAACAGTGCAAACTCCTGTCTGACAGTTTAACCAAAAGGCGTTTCTAGTGGAAACTGGCCGACACATCCTCAGCATAACCATGTATAACATCCACTGAACTTAAAAAGAGGTTAAACACACACAGTATGGTAACATTATGTTGAAGCACAGTACACATCACTCCGCGAGGCTCCGCCTACGATAGCCGTAATGCTCCGACCAGTGTTGCCAACTTAGCGACTTTGTCACAGTTTTCAGACCCCCTTAGCGACTTTTTTTCTAAAAAGTGACTAGCGACAAATCTGGTGACTGTTTCTGTTGTTATTGGAGACTTATTTATGACAACAGATGATGTGCAGATCGATCCTGAAATATCGATTCCTCCGATACCAATCGTTTATGTTCTAGAATCGATTCTCACATTAAAATATCGATATTTTAGTACTTTAGAGTAAATTTGTAGTTTATCATTAACAGTAACACAGTGGAAAGAAACTATAACATTTGGATTGTCTATGTTTGGAAGGAACTATTTTCCCTTCCGCCTTTCATAGTCATGTGTGAAACACGGCTGTATAAATGTGTTGCAGCCGCTGGCGTGCGCACTCACAACAATGGCTGAGCGTAAACAGAGTCATGTGTGGACGTATTTTACCTCCACAAACAGCCAAGACGTGGTTTGCGATACATGTGGCAAAAAAGTGAAGTGTTGTGGCAACAGCACTAACCTCGTCAAACACCTCAGAGTAAATCATATCACAGAATATGACGAGCGTATGTTGAGGAGAACTGAAGAGGAGGACAGGGACAGGTGCTGCTAGGGCGACACAGACGTCTCTCACGGAGTCCTTTAGTGCTGCAGACAGGCAACGTGTTCAAATAGGCACAACTTCAGTTTTTTATTTCTATATGATGAACTCTGCATTATTAAGTGATAAGAACAAGTAATCTGATGTAATCATGATGACGCTATAATTTGAGATACTTTGTACAAAAACTTATTTTATTTATTGTATCGGATCAGTATCGTCGATACCACCCTGAATATTACTTGGTATCGGATCGGAAAGGAAATCAGTGGCATCGCACATCACTAATGACCACTTTTTGACGTGAAAGCGCGTATCGCTCTTCTCAACAAGCAGCGATGCTGCCGTGGGCACCTCGCCCATACCAAAGCGCTCACGGGCGGAGGATAGTGCTCCCCCCGCTGCTATCAGGGCAGGAGACGTTCACACCTGTGCGTCCAAACTACAAATGAATCGCGCATGAGCGAAGCCGCTGCTCCCGCACTGACTGTAACGCAGTCGGTTCTTCTTTTATTGTTATGCTGTTTTGTGGATCAGGTTTAAAACTACTTATAAACACACACACACACACACACACACACACACACTGTAACTCCACCAGAGCGCCTATCTTGGGTCACTTGCCGGTCCAAGCCCGGGTAAAGGAGCAGGGTTGGAATTGTGACATTAAAAAAACAATAATTGCTAAAAGAAATTTAATCTGTAGTTCTAAATAAATTTTTGGGAGGACATTTTTTACTCACTTTATGTCCACGATGTTATTTTTCTCTCCAACACCGTAGGTTACAATTACATTAGCATTATGCAAATTAAGCGATGACGTCATTTGGCAACTTCTAGCGACTTTTAGGACAGCCAATAACGATTTTCCTTACTGAGGAGTTGGCAACACTGGCTCCGACAATCCATCAAGCGGTGCGGCTTCGTAGCTTAGCAAAGTCGCACTAAAACATCTGACAGATTTTCGAGCGCCGTGCACATAAACTCGTTTCGAGGTCAGTAAACACAACCAGAGTTCATACATGAGGCACACGGGGTTATAAGGGGCTCTGTCGACTTTCAGAAAAATCAAAGGATGATTTTAAGTGCGCCGTGTTTTCCAAACAACACGGTAATAACGACGGCCCGCTAGCATGCGCTACCAAAAATAGTGCTTTGTTGTGTGTCTGAGGGACGAAAGCCAAACCAGTTCAACCACTGAAGCTGCAGCATTTTTACAAACCAGTTCAGCTTCATCTGTTTCAATCAACGATCCACTTTCGCTCTTCTCATTCTCTGTCACCATCATGCTTTTTCCGCCATGTGCGTATGAAAACAAAGGCACTGCGCATGCGCGTTTTACCCGTATTCTATCACCATATTTCATTTTCCTATCATTGCCCAACATTACACCGGTGTTACCATGAACGGTATATGTCCAGCCCTACTAGTACTGATACCTAAAAACCGTACTTCATTACAGTAACAAAGTATTTGTACTTGCTTCTTACTTACTTCCCACCTTAGGGGGATATTATTACATGACAGATCAGCCGGTACTTGGCCATGGACCCACCAGGTGCCTGTCATGGTCCTGTCAGGAATAAGGCAGCCTTTATAAGTGGCTGTATCTGTACAACAGCTTATCTCTGGCCTAAATGATGTCAAGCAGCAGGACAATGATCCCATTCGTTCCCACTGCTGTCCAAACTGACAGGAGTTAGCTTAGGCTCTCTAGTTAACAGTGCTGGGATTGTTTAACAATACATTCCTCATGGATATCTTCAGAGGTGACTACAGGCTGATTGTTAGCATACCTGGGTGGGCTGTGAGGGAGAAACTCTGGAAACTGACTTTTTTACTTTTACAGGGTAAGAAAGCAGAGTTGAAGTCCTTCATCATCGAGTTAAGCAAAGAGTTTTCCATCCTGTCTCAGTTTACCAGCTTCGTGGCCATTGAGGAACGGGTTTGTCAAATCAGCCTTTTTTCACATTTACAGCTTGTTTTCCATTCTTTTAGCTTTTTTATCAAATATTTATTTAACTGATCTTATTTTTAGGACTCAGAGCAACCACAGCCTGGTTTTACAGACATCCCCAAGCTGATTGCAGAGGAAGATGTGGACTTCCTTCCCTACATTAACTGGATTTCTCCCGAGGATGATGAAGACCTAATAGAGGAAGAGTCTTCGGTATGAATTTTTTAAACTGTTGTTCATACATGACTAGTCCTCATGCGCATAAACTGGAGCTGTAGTTTTGCCAAAGATTTTGTTTCAGCGGCCGAGGGAGCAACACATCTGTGTTCCTGTGCTTTACTAAACATGTGATCATCATGTCATTGATCGCACTGACTGTATTGCTGCTGCAATCTTCACAAATGCTGACGTTTATGATTTCATGCTTTTGTCTTCCTGCTGCAGGAGGAGGAGGATTGTGTCTTTGGTTTGTTTGACACTTGTGGTTCCTTCACGGTTAGTCCCCTTACACTAAGACGCTGATGCTGCACATTCAGTGAAACAAATTCAAGAACTTTAACAAATATGTGGAACAATAATTCAGTTCAATTTCAGAAATATCTAAATGGCATGTAGCAGATGTCCCGCAGTGCAACAAACTATGTGATTCTTTTGTTGAGTTAATGTTGATGTAGAACTTTTCTTATATTGTGAAACCTGACAAAAGACATTACCAACAGTATTTCTGACAGAATTCATCTCAACACATTTAGAGGTTTGTAGAGTCGGAGTTTAAATTTCTGCTTATTTTTCTCCTTTCATAGAGTCCCGACTACTCTCCTCCAGCTCCACCTACTTCTTCTTTTAAGGAGCTTGCTTCAGACGATGTTCCCCACCTTTCTTCTCCTGGACACCCGGCTCCCCCTCCGCCTCCTTCTTTTATGAAGCCTGCTTTTATGAAGCCTGCTTTTATGAAGCTTGCTTCAGACGATGTTCTCGACCTTTCTTCTCCTGGACACTCGGCTCCCCCTCCGCCTCCTTCTTTTATGAAGCCTGCTTTTATGAAGCCTGCTTTTATGAAGCCTGCTTTTATGAAGCTTGCTTCAGACGATGTTCCCCACCTTTCTTCTCCTGGACACTCGGCTCCCCCTCCGCCTCCTCCTTTTATGAAGCGTGCTTCAGACGATGTTCCCCACCTTTCTTTTCTTGGACACTCGGCTCCACCTCCACGTTATTTATTTATGAGGCCTGCTTCAGAGGGTGTTCCCCATCTTTCTTTTTCTAGACCCCCACCTCCACCTTCTTTTATGAGGCCTGCTTCAGACGATGTTCCCCACCTTTCTTTTCTTAGACACTCGGCTCCACCTCCACGTGTTTCAGGACATATTCCACAAGGACCGTCCAGACCTTTTTCATTTTGTGGTTACTCTCCTCGTAGTCAATCCATGGATTCATTTTCATTTGGCATTTCATCATCATCAGACAGTCAGGCAGTGAAGGACATCGATATTCCAATTCCGAGCTGTAGCACTCAGATTAGCAGGTCATCACTCCACACTCAAGCTTACACTTCAGCGATGAGTAATCAGGTACAGAGTGCACTTGATTCTGTGTCTGATGAGGAAGAACAGAGTTCATCTGAGTATGTTGAAGGCGTTTCTTACAGGGCCTGTAAAAAGCCTGTAAAATACAAAGACGGAGCAGCAGCCAGCCGTCTGTCTTTCCTCCCAGATTCTTGTAGTTCTTTCTTTAAAGTCAGAGAACAACTTCGTGAGACGTCAGCTCCAGCGGATTTAGAGCACCAAGCAAAACCTCACCTCCCAATATATGGTCAGGTAGGGAAAAGAGCCGAGTTTAAGAGTAAAGTCTTTCCTGAGAAGTCCTATTTGCCTCCCAAATTTTGCGGCCCCAGCATATATGGGAGTCCTAACATTGCTCCTGCAGCAGTACCGTCTCAGATGGTTGTTGAATCTGATGAAACAGCTCCTCTGTTTGTTGCACAGACTGCCAGAGACAGAGAGCCGTCTTTTGGGTCAGCTAAGTTTACTACCAGTGGCTTTCACTTAGGTAGGTTCGGTAGCTCAAGCTCCACCTATGGTGGTGCTCCGGGATCTACAGTGGTTCCTGTGACGTCAGCTCCATCAGATTTAGAGCACCAACCAAAACCTGACTTGTGCTTATCATCATTAAGCTGTTATTTACCTCCCACCCGTTCCGACAATGATGTTCCTGTAGGCCCTGCAGGGGCTCCTGAGAAGGCCGCTCGGCTTCATCTCAGAGGAATGGCTCCCTCTTATCGTTCACGCAAAGTTACGAGTGCATCACAACCTCACCATGAACTTGAAGCTCAGAGCAATGTTCGACAAAGAACGCCCATCATAGCTTTCGTCGCTGGCCATCAGGATCTCCCGACTAACCCTGTCCTGCGTCATCGGTCAGCTGTGTGAGTCTCTGAACATTTCTACACACATTCTGTTTGTTAACTATGAGAAGTGTTTGTCTAACAGGTGGAAATGACTGTATGTTAACCAGGCTGAATGCAGCAGAATCTCCTGAAGCGCTGAAGCTCAAATGGATGAAGATCTTCCAGATGCAACATTCAGTGAGCTTTTCGTGGTTTTATAGTCTTGGGTTCACTTAAGCAAACATAGCTGTTTATCACTCGGACAAAGCAACAGCTTCCTTTGGCTCTCTGACAGGTTAAAACTGCGAAGGAAGCGTAATTTTTTTACTGAATCACTTGTTAACATCTGTTTTATTTCTATGGGACTTGTCATTGTTAGAGTCATGGGTGGGTGGAGCCTATTCCAGCTGTCATGGGGCGAAAGGCGGAGTAGACCCTGGAGAGACTGCTAGTGTATTGCAAGGCTAACACAGAGAATTTAACCTCCTAGGACCTGGCGTCCACATGTGGACATCATATTCTGGGTTGTCTAAACCAAAATACAAAATTTTGGTAAAAACAAAGAATCACATAATTCTTTGTTTTTACATTCATCAGGTTCAATCAGCCCAAATAACGAGAAGAGAAAATGCCGTGTAAGAGTTCGGGTCTTACGAGGTTAAACATAACTGTCAGGTTAGGCTCAGACTAGGGTTTTAGTCTATGTGATATATTAACAGCAAACATCCGTTGTTTTGAAACTTTAAGCTGCATTTCAGAGTTTTATGATAGGAACATATAAAGAAAGCTTCCAGTGATGCCCCTCTGCCTCCTTGTAGACACACCTGTCGTATCAATTTGAAAATTCTACCTCAACTCGTCACATTCACAAGATTTCCAGAAAACTTGACCTCCAACCTTTACCTTAAACTAAAGGCCACTGGTATTCAAACTGGTCTGAGGTTTGTAGTGGCTGCACCTGTTTTTGAGTTACTGCATTCACAAGCTCAAGTGTCCATGCTGCCCACCTGCCCAGCAGGGTGGAGACGGTACCCCTCCATCTTTTACAGCCAAGGGGTGAAAATCATTTTGACGCAGAAAGAATCGCAGCTAATGATGAGTCTGGGATCATAATGGGGATATAAACAAGACCTTGCTATCACGTTTACCCAGAATGCAGTTTTTCAAATGGTATCCAGTTAATTATCAGAAAACAGATAAAACAGCCACGCTTCTGTCAATCTACATCACAGATATTAAACTGGTAATATATGTCATGACAGTGATGCTCAAAGTTGGTCATAGAGTTAAAAGTGTTTTATCGTAGTGAACGTTTCATGTGGTTAGCTCCTGTGCTTTGGTAGTTAGCAAGGCTCAAAAAAGCTGGACAGAATTCTTAAAATGACCAAGGACAGAACTGTAACCCACACCTTTGCACTCTGAGTGCATGCAAAAATGTAAACGTCACTTTGATATAATGGCGTTATTTTTATGCGTGTTGTAGGAAGGGTACTGGGAACTAACCACAGAGCTGGGGGAACTACTTAATGTCAACGTGGACCTGTTTGCCAACGTGTTCCTGAAGAACAAAGGCATCCATTCTCTCGGTGAGAGCTCGTTCAATTCTGATCTGGAGGTTTTATGAAAGTTAACATGTATGTACGCTTACTTGGGATCGTGTTAACAATGCATATAAAATGTGACTCACATCCACCAAGGTCTTTAAGGTCAACTTAAGATTTATTGGTGGAAAATTGACAAAAAGTCTCGAATCACTTAGAAACTGCAGTTCTTACACGTGTGTTTTGTTAAAGTACATAAAGTGCCATATAAAGATTTACAGCATCAGGTTACATTTGAGGTCTGACCTAAGTAGTACTAAACAGTAAAAAGAAATGACGCATATCCAGTATATCCACATAAATAAAACCTAATTCTTTGCATTTGTTTTCATGGCACTTCTTAAAGTTTACAAAGAACAGGAAACAAAGTGGTTCCCAACAAAAGCCGATGCTGGTCCTTTAAAACAAGCCCAGAGACTGATGGGTGGACAGATTTGTGCTCTGAGTGCTTCTTGTTTTTCAAGTTATTGTAAGTTTACTTAGTTTTATAATTATTATGAGCTCACACTTAACACTTTACCTCGATGTCTGTAAGAAAGGTTTCGCAATAACCATTTTATACCAACACGTTCTCACTCACAAAGCACAACATTCTGCGCTAAATGACAAATCATCGATATATTACGCTTCCGATCACTCAACACGTCCCTATATTACAAGATCGGAAAAATGAGGAAACACGAGAACCATTTGGAATGAATCTACACGTTTGTTTTACTCGCTTTGGAAAACACGATCCAACATCATTGAAGTGCTGGTTATGGTTTGGGATCAGGCTAGGGCTGGAATAACGCGGTGCGTAGCACAAGAACACGGAGGGTCTCCTGTCACATTCCTCAGGAACGTCCGGGACTCGGAAGTGAGAACGGGCTGTTTATATGCAGTTTTCTAGGAGCTCAGCTGTTAATTAACCTTATTTTTCATTATTTCTTTAACAAAATCAGGCACATGTTAAACCTGTAGATTACTCCCCAGCGCGACGTCTAAATGGGCAGCTGTTGTTTGAGATTGATTCATTATGTTGATTCTGTTCGTCTGGACGTTGCGTCTGGAACACTTCGGTTATAAAAGGACCATTTTGTGATTTCCTTTGGGATCTTTTTTGCATGTGTGTTTGAAGGCGTGACAGCCCACAAAGATATCCTGAGGCTGGTGGCGACTCTTCTGGTTCTGCAGCTGATGAAAGCGAACAAACTGGAAGAAGGCAAACTGCTCCGCACCCTGTTCTGTCTGGAAGAAGCTTCTCAGTCCAGGTCTGTCCAACACAGGATGCACAACAGCTTAGAGTAAAATTTCTCTGCAGTTGTTACAAATCAGCTGAAATTAAGCTTGAAAAACATTTTGTACAAAATGTGATTTGATATATTAATGAAGCTTATTTCACTATGCCTTGCATGACTTTAGAAATGCAGGTCTGGAAATATTTGCACCACGATGGTTTTAACAAGGTTGTTCACTACTGTGACTGTCTTTTTCATTCAGGCCTGAACGATGGGAGCAGGTGAAGAAGGCGGTGGACTGGGTTTGCTGGGCTGACCGACAGTACCCCTGTGTCTATTGTCGGCTAGAGTTTGGTTTGAGCTGGGAGTCCGCCACCCGTCAGCTACTGGGTTATGAAAGCCTCCCTCCCTTCTCGCCTCTCTGTGGTCTTGATCTACAGAGGACAACGGCCCCAGTACTGGTCCAGTGAGAAGATGCTGTGGACACCGTGTAGCCTTTCAGAGGGGATTACAGTAGCTTTAGATATGCTTGTAGATGAATATGCATGTATTCCTTTGCCTTTTAAGAAGAATTTCGTACTCTGTGTGTTTATACATGTATGGATAATCTCAAATGTCCTCTGCTGTAATCTAATTTCTCAAATGTTACAAATACAGGCCATTTACACGGAGCATTTACTGCACATAGAGCAGTTGTTTTGTCATCTGTGAAGTTTGCCCGAAAAGCAAACTGGTGTTTGATCCAGGTCAGGTGGTAAAATGTACCTAATTTGAGACACAAGTTGTTATTTTTTTTATTGCATAACACAGTATCCATTTTTTAAAACACTTCATAGCTGTTGGTGTTGGTGGCAGCAGTTGTTGTTTTGTGCAGTGGGATAATGGTGGAGGGTAAATACCTCTGATGCTGGAGGACCGATGTTGACTCTCCAGTGATTGGGTAGCAGAATGTAGAGTCTCCCCTGGTTACGGGCATCAGCCAGGTTTGTGTCCTTTGTGTTTGATGCACATTGTAACGTGATTTTATAGTCAGTCAGTGACTTGATACTTCTTTACATGTAACAAAGGTTGTTGTTAATAAATTGCTACTGTGACCTGTTTGTGCCGGTGCTTTACCTTGCTGCCTTTTACAGCTGCTGCCGTGTTAAGTTGTTTGCTGAGGGAGGCTGAAGAAATTGAATACATGCAAAGGGTGCCAGGTTTGAGGGTCTCGGGATCTTATCACTGCTTTTTGAAGATGAAGTGGTTTTCTTAGGTTCACCAAGCTATCACATCCGGCTGACACCAAGATGGTCATAGTAAGGAGCTCAGTCATTTAGGTGAGAGAGGTGTTGACTGGCATGAAAACCATCACTATGTTCAGGATGTCCCATCTGTGCTGAGAACAGAGGCAATGAGTTGAATGTGTTTTTCAACAGATTGAAATGCTCACCTCCCTCCTGATTTACCCGTAGTCGTCCTTCAGTCCATGCCACTCTCTCTCCACTTTGCACCTCAGGCTACGTCTACACTAATCCGGATAAATCTGAAACACTCCGCGTCCACACTATCATTTTCAAAGAGTTGTGCATCCACACTGAAGCGACCTAAAATGCTTACATTCCAGTCCAGCGCATGCATGTAAAGTAAGAAGATTCGACCCGCCTCATTTCTGTCTGCCGTTTATTTTCTTTCCGGCTCTTTGAAAATTGGCAAAATGTGGAGGAAAAGCAGCGAGTTTTTTAAATGGATTAACAATGAGGTGGAGTTGTTGCTGCGAGGAACACAAAAGCACAAATTGCAAAAGCGAGTGAGAATTAAAGAATTTGAAGAAAAGCTCTCTGGAGCATGTGCAGACTGATATTAATCTTTAACAGGGCTGTCAAACCTGAGAGCTGACAGAACAACTGCTGCTCCGCTGTCTCAGTTTAATTGGTCACATGACTGCATCATATAACTAAAATGCGTCATCTTTCCAAAAGTCTGCGGTTACGCTGGCCACACCGCCGCGTGAAAACAGCGTTTTCAGTTGTTTCTGCTTTTTCAAAAAGCTCCGTTTTCCTTGACCGAAAACGCCGTCTCAGTGTGGAGTGTACACATGTACAGGTTATAATTAACGACAGTTCAACAAGTTTCCGTGTTCAACAGCATTTCCTCCTTATTTGGTTGTCTGCCCCCCCAGATGTTTCCTGTGGACCCCGGATCACTAGTTGCTAAGCAGAGACAAAGTCTTTACCCTAGAAATGATGCTTCATGTCTATGTGTATGTAAGCGTGTTAGGCCTTCATTCACAGCATGCAGGTCATTGCATCAATATATCAGTTCAGACATGGCGCTGAACGACGCTTTAAGCCTTCCTGTATGCTCAACTCTATCATGAGCACAAATGCAATGTGCGTAATAACCTGATTGAAACTATGTTTAATAAATGGAATAAATGACACTGCTCAAAGCTAAATAAAAAGATGTAAAAGAATCAACCTGATATAAAATGATATAATCCCCACACTTGCACATTCATAGTTCATTTGCTCGAATCCGGTTTCATAGCCCTAGTTCTTGGTCATTGTGTTGTACTTTGTTTCTGTAAATAAAATATTTTAATCACTAAGCTCTGCTTTTGGTTTCATTTCTCACTGCTGGCTACCGAGCCCTGACACCCCCAAGGCAACTGTTCCAGATGGGAGCTGTTACGAAATCAGTTTTACCTCGGTTCTTTTTATTCCTCGAGCATCCAGAGACGGCACCGGACTCAGTCATTTTCACAAAACCTTTATTCATCTTTACTCATCTTTACTCTTCTTCATTCATCTTCATTTAAGCATGCATCTTCTAGAAGGGAAGACGAGGCCGGTGGGGCCCTCTGCAAAAAATCTTCACCCCTTTGTTCGTTACAGCCAGCTTTATAGAGGCGTCCCCATCATAAAACCCCCCACAGTGTGCTGCAAACTCTGTCTGTGTCTATGTGCACGAGCACATGAATGCCTACATGTGCGTTCCCGCGTGTCTATGTGAGTGCTCGTGTGTGCCTGTGTGCGCATACCTGTGTGTATGTGTGTGTGCACATGAGTGAGTGTGCGTGTGGATGTGTGTGCGTGACAGTTAAAACACTGTGGGTGTAGGTGACTCCCTTGGTCATAAAACCCCTCTCCCTTCCAGACCACAGTTATCCAGTTACAAATGTTGAGACCCCCACCCAAACATCCTCTGGGGAATTTCCACTCAGCATTAACTCTTCTATGTTTTACTTTCACAGTTCAAGTGGGGGAGGGGTCTCCTACAATCTACTCCTAAGTTCACGACACAGTGAGGCCTTTATTATATTGAGGGCAGTGTCAGTGTCTCTACAACAGTTTACATTCTATGATAACACATTTCTAAACTCTAAAATCAGCTAAACATTCTTCAGAGCCCACAAATCCAACACAGATGGGTCCAGTTGTCCAGTATGTTTATCTTTAAAAGAAACAGCAAATCGAGCTATTTCTTACCATGTCAAAACAGCATCCCAGTAAAGGAAAGCTTCAGCTCTCAAGGTTGCTCAGTGACAAACTCTTCCAAGTCTGGAACATAAAGTGGTCGTTTGATAAAGTGGGAGACACAAACAGATGAAAAAGGGTTTTACTCCATAAAAGAGCTGGCCTTCCTCAAAATAGCTGAAAAGCGTTTCTACCAGGATGAAACAAATAGTTGGGTAGCGCCACCACCTTTTCATTCTCCAAGACCACGACTCCCCAACAGCAGACAGCAAGCCAGTCACCCTCTTGCTTCACTCAGTCGAATGCTGAAGAATTGACCTGGAATGAGACAATAGTTTATGCAAGGCATATCAACAACAGCCTTCTGGGTGTCCTTGTGCGGTTTTGCAAGGATCGAGTGGGAGCTACTGCTGATATCAAAGATATTTTAGTTCTCTCGTGAAAAGACACTAAAAAAGAAGAACTTTGTGCAGTACTTTTGGTATTTATATTTGTAATTGAGCTATATTAGACCTATTTCTTTTATTTTGTAACTTTGTAATATATTGTATTATTTAATTAGTTCAGTCTGTTACTGTTCTTTTTCTCTTGGAGCAACTGTAACAACATTATTTACTTCGGGATTAATAAAGTTTTCTGATTTTGATTCTGATTGAGAAGAGAACTGTTACTCCTTCACATCAAAAGGAAGCCGGTGAAATGGGTCAGACATCTGGATATGATGCTTCTTGGACACTTGGATGAGGTGTTTGGGGAATGTTTATCACAAGACCCTGTGGTAGACCCATGACATGCTGGTGACATTATGTCTTTGGAGCCCAGAAAAAGAAGCATAGGTGGCTGGACAGGAGGCATAGGCATCCCTTCTTAGACTCGTGCTCCTGAAATCCAGGAGAAACAGCAGGAAATGAAATGATGTATCGGTGGAATGGGTGTGTTTTTATTTTTGTCAAGCTGTGAAACATAAGTAAATCTCAGGACGTGCTATCATGTGCATTTCCAGTGAAAGCGTTAGAGAATATCACACAAGAGATTTTCTGGGGTGGATGGAGAAAAGGAGTAGGAGGAGTAAGGTAAGTCACATTACACGGATAGCTTTAGTCAGAAAGGTGCCAGTGTTCAGCAGCTTTCATCTTCTTTTCCCTTTCTGCTCATGGAGAACGTGTATGGACAACAATTCTGCTTTCCACAGCTCCTCAACACCTCCTGTAGGAAGCCGCTGCAACATCACAATCAGACCATTTTTCTCTGCATTCTGCTTTGCTGCATCTCTCTGCTCACAGTGACTCTCAACGTCCTGGTCATCATCTCTATCTCCCACTTCAGGTGTTAAAGTAAACTTTACTGTGATATATTGTGTTTGACTTGAGCATACTCGGATTAGCTACAGAGTACTTCACATTTACTAAACTGTGATAGCTCTCTTTTACAAAGGAACAGCTGATGTGATAAATGTTTGTACTATTTAACTGAAATGATTTCATATTCTGACCTCCTCCTCTCAGAATGATGTGGAAACGAGAGGTTTGCCCTACTTTGTTGCACTGGATTGTTTATTGTATGTTGTTTTACTTTCAGAACTGGTGCATTACTGTAGCCTTCCACCTGCTGCAGGTTTATTAATATTATGTTACGTCTTTCTTTCTGTTTTTTTCTTCTCAGGCAGCTTCACAACCAAACCAACCTCTTCCTCCTCTCTCTCGCTGTCTCAGACCTCCTTGTTGGCCTCCTGCTGATGCCGCCTCGAATCCTCCTTTTAGGGGGCTGCTGGTTTTTGGGCACCTTCATGTGTGGACTGTTTTACTATGCCTCTTTTGTTCTCACATCTGCCTCAGTAGGAAACATGGTGCTTATTTCATTTGACCGGTATGTAGCTATTTGTGACCCCTTGTCCTACCCCACCACAGTTACTGAGAGAAAAGTCCAAATCAGTGTCTGTCTGTGTTGGGCCTGTTCACTGCTGTATAACGGCACAATACTAAACAACTTCCTGAAGCAGCCAGACAGATATAATTCTTGTGACGGGGAATGCATAGTTGTAATTAATTTCATAACTGGTGCTTTTGATGTCGTAGCTACCTTCATCGGCCCCACTGCTGTGATCATATTTCTGTACATGAGAGTATTTCTGGTGGCTGTGTCTCAGGCTCAGGCTATGAGATCTCATGTTGCCTTTGTTACTTCAAAGGGTTCAGTTCACGTTGCCATTAAGAAGTCTGAGAGAAAAGCAGCTACAACTATTGGTGTTGTTGTGGTTGTGTTTCTGATGTGTTTCTGTCCTTACTTTTATCCCTCTCTCGCAGGGCAGGACACATCAACCAGTGTGGAATTTTCAGTTTTTGGGGTCTGGTTACTTTATTGTAATTCCTGTCTAAATCCACTTATCTATGCGTTTTTCTATCCCTGGTTTAGGAAGACTGTTAAACTGATAGTTACATTGCAGATTTTGCAGCCTGACTCTTGTGATGCCAACATACTGTAGAATTAAAATCCTATCACTCCTCAGTTAGTCAAATACACTGTAAAGACCAAAGGTCAAAATGTGAAAAAATAAGTTGATATCTGACATCTTCTTCAGCTGTTAATGAAAAATTGCATCAATTATTTGTAATAATGTATTAATATTGATTATTACCAGCTGTAATAAACAATATTAATCAAGAATTCATCAAGATCCTTTAACTTCTTCATGAAAAATGCACATGCATACTCCAGAGTCACTATGAAGACTTGTGTCTCATCTTCATTCACTCCACTCTCGTCAAAGAACCTTTTTATTTTGTGGATGGTTCCTTAGCTATTACAAATGGTTCTTTAAAGAACAAAAGGTTCTTCATCCTTAGCTGTCTAAGTTTGATGGTGTGAATGGCATAAATATTTACTCACTATAACGAGGCTGTTAAATTATACTGTGTGTTTTCTTTGTGTGCATGTGTGTGCGAGGGGGGAGGGCGGGTTACCTGGTGATTACCCTTTAAGAGCAGATGGTAGGAAACTGAATATTCAAATAAAGTTAGAAATA